CTACCAAGCTGACTAAAAAAAGCCAGCCAACCAAAAGATACAGTCTTGATAAGCTGTTTGGTTGGGGACTGGTACTCTGAGGAGATATAAAAAAAATATATATACATATAAAAATATAAATAATATTGAACTGGCACACTAAAGTACTTATGTAGATATTATGAGGTAATAAATGCAATAAAGGAGGACCAGGCAAGAAGTGATGGATTTGAGATCTGTTAAAGGTGTCAAGTCCACAGATTCCAAACATACTGAAAACCAGGAATACTCATAACAAGAAGGGGGCAAAGAAATTATGAAAAACCAGCAACAGCAACTGAGCAGGAGGTGCATACATGGGAGAGAGAAACAAAGACCAGGCAAATAAGCAGATTGGGGGCAGGTGTGAACAGAGGAGACTAGAAAGGAACTAGGGAAAATTAGACCAACACAAGAGGGCAACAGAGGGCAAACAACAATACCTAAGAACACAAATACATCCAGAAAACACCTCAAAATATGAATTAAACAGAACAGAATAAAAAGAGAAAAAGAAAAACATGGATCAAAGTGAAACCGAAAACTAAAATAAAAACTTAAACAGAAACAAAACTGTTAAAAAAGGTATATGTTACTGGTGCCTGCTATAGCATTGCAAGGAGCATGGAATGCCATTGCATAAAACACAAATTTAGAGTGGATGACATCACAAAACATAGTGGAGTGGTTTTCTGATGCTTCTGATTCATGAATACATGGCTGTTATGCCCGCTTTTATGCTGTACAGTCATAATTTTTGTTCAGTGTGTAAACTGAAGCCTCTGCTTACACATAATGTCTCTGTAATTGCTAAAGGATTTACAGTTTTCCTTAAAACCCTTCCAGACTCACCAAAAGATAATGAAGGGGTCATGATCTGCCCTGATAGCTGACCTTAATTACTCATGTCACTCACCTGCCTAACCCTGTCCGGTTCCTAAATATCGCTCATCTTATCCACCTTTGTCTGTTCCTTTATATTAGGGTCACTGAGGGACACTCTCTGGGCGGCTCTGCTCATTTGGCAGTCCATTGTCTGGATCCTGCCCATCTCGGAGAGGATGGACTGAACTGTTACACAGGTAAGGGACTCACATGGATAATCATCTCCTGTCAGGTGATCATGGTCACTTACCTGTGTTGCTCCCTCCAGAGTGTCAAGGATTGGGCAGTGCCCCGTCCCCCTGATGCAGCCGCTGTGGTCCGCAGATCCACAGCTCTGCGCTTCTGTTTCGTTTATATTTTGTTTAATTAAATGTTTCTAACTTACCCACTATTTGTCTCACCTTGAATACTGGGTCCATCTGTCGCTGTCATGAACTTGGCGCTGATGGTTTGGTTTTTTCCTTTGCTCCTTGCTCCCTGTTTAATTGGTTCTGCGGCTGATTATCGCCGATCATTTCCACCTGGTTCCTCTACAATTTAAGTTGTGTGTTTGCCTCCCATCAGCGCCAGGTTATTCGTTTGTTTTGGTGAGACGTTTCCGAGCAATCTTTAGTCTGTCTGTTTTCCTGATTATGACCAGTTTTCTGCCCTGTGGATCTCGAGTTTTGCCTTGCCCCTGTCTGATCTGTTTGTCGCATCTGGTCCTGGATTCTACCGGCTTCTGAACCTGGAACTGTCTCCTGACTTCGGCCTTGGATTTCCCTTCTGGACTCTGTTGCTGCTCGGCGTCTGCTGCTCGCTCTTTAGGAACTCCGGGGGCATCGCCCGCCGCAACAGCGGTCAAAGCTCCGCGAATGGAATGAACTTTGAATCAGGTCAGTGACTAGCTCCAAGTCATACTCTGCTCATCCAGTCACTGACCTGTATTCTCCTATCCCTGCAGAGATCCCCGCAGCAGACGAGCAGCCCCGCACACCTGTTTTGGTTAATAAACACTTTAAACTTTCCCACTGCCTGTCTCGCCTTGAATTCTGGGTCTAATATTCTGAGATCATTACAGTCGCACAAAAGCAGTTTATGGCACACCTGTGCTCTAATCAAGGCATCTAATTAGCATCTTGATATGGCACACCTGTGCGGTGGGATGGATTATCTCAGCAAAAGGTAAGTGCTAATTTTTACAGATTTAGACTGGTTTGTGAAAAATATGAGGGAAATCGTTATAGTGGAAAAAGTTTTAGATCTTTAAGTTTATCTCATAAAAAAATGGGAGCAAGAACAAAAGTGTTACGCTTAAATTTTCGTTGAGTGTATTTAATTTTTGGGTTTACTGTTCATTGGTCAAATGATGAAATTGCTTTGTATATTTTAGGTAAAAATGTTAATTTTTTTGTATAGATTATACATTTAAATTAATAAATATTTGGACAGAGACAACATTTTCAAAATGATGGTTCTGTACATTAATAAAATAAATGTTGATCAAAATTCAGACCCAATTAACATTTGGACGTTGAGCTTTATTACTGTAGGTTGGACAAAATTAATGCATAAAAATGCAAGAAAACAAAATCTTTTTTCAAACAAAACCCTTCATTTTGAGGGCTCCAAAGAAATTTTAAAATTAAGCAATTGTAAATGTTCATTTCTCATACTAATAATAATGGAATTATACATTAGATGAAGGCTGTAGTTTGACAGATGGGTTGCTACAGATGGATTTTCCCTTATGACATCATGAAGGGCATGATTTTTCAAACAGAGTGTTTTGAGCATACATTAGCTAATAGGTGGAGAAAGCCAGTGAGAAAAAGAAAAGGGTTTTTTAATTTGAGCATTTCATACACACGTTTCAGGACAGATATGACTGTTACAAAATAATTATAAAGTGAATTTTGTCAGAAAATTGGACAGATGGACCCAGTATTGAAGGTGAGACAGCCAGTAGGAAATTTCAAAATGTTTAATAAAACAAAAACATAAACAGACACGCACTGCTGTGGAACTGCAACCACAGCGACTGCAGGTGTGGGGGCACAACCAATCACTGATTCTGGTTCAACAGTACAGTCCATTCAGGAACAGACATATCCGGGTTCCAGGAATCCATCAGAGCGTGAAGGCAGGTTCAGAGTCCCGTGCGTTGAGCATCCAGCTCAGACAGAAATGCACAGAGGCTGAATCCAGCAGGAGTCCAACCGAGGTTCAAGCAGGGCAGATCAGGCAGTGACAGACAGGATCAGTGGACGAGAGGGAACGGAATCAGGAAAACAGAATCACTAGGGAAACGCTGAAATGCTCTCACAACTGGTTAGGGAAATAACTCGCCTGAGGACACTGGCTTAAGAATAAACTCCTCACTGGAACAGGGACAGGAACCTTGGAACTGACTAAAATTAACAAAACTGACTGACTGGAGAAACAGAAATCAAACAGGGAACAAACAAAAAGCAAATAAACAACGATCTGGCCATGATAGCTGAAACTGAGCCCAATATAAGGGAAACCTGCAGGAGGATGAGATTAGGGATAATTGGGAGCTGGAGACACTTAAGCAGGTGAAAGGCATAAGGGATTTAGGTGAGCTATCAGGGCAGATCATTAAAATTTTGCATAATATGGGACATTTAAGCTTATGGACATCACAACACAACGTGTTTCCTGTTTTTAATGCCTTTATTGCTGCAGTTTCCAGTTGCTGTTTGTTCGGGGGCCCTTTCTGTCTGTCATTTTATTTTTAACAAGTGGCATGCAATCTCCATTGGGTTAGTATCAAGTGACTGACTCAGCCATTCAAAAATATTCCACTTCTTTGTCCTAATATACTCCTGGGTCAGTTTGGATTTATATTTCGGGTAGTTGTGTTATGCGATTAAAGTTTTTAATCGTGTTGAATAAAGGCTTTGTAATTAATTTATTACAATTAATTGCATTTTAAATAAGTAATATCAACAAAATAAAACAACTTTTTAATTAAAAAAAACTTTTTTGCTCCTAATTTAAGGACTTAACTATCATATGAGCACAGCTACAAATATATTTTTTGTATTCAATAGACTATTTGGGTTATTCAACCAAATAGGTTGACAGTTGTAATAATTTAGCTTTAAATAAGAATCCCTGATATTTTAAGCAACTTGAAAAAATGCACTTCTATAGAAGTCCATGAACATTAATTATAGAACAATTCCTTCCACTAACATCTTAAAATATATAAAGCAGGCTGTAAGAGTTTTACATTCGCTGTAAACAGAAGATAAGGTTTCATTTCTTATACTGAAAGAACTAGGACAGTTCAGCTCTGCGTAAATCATTGCCTAACAATCACTATTCAATGTGCAGCATTTAGTGCAATTTAAAAATTTGTGTAATTTGTATTTGTAGAGAAAAGTTCTTCCTGAGTTACACTTAAGTAATGCACTTTTTGCATATCAAGTTCACAAGTGCTTTCTTTCTCAGAATGTACCTAACTGAACATTTTGCCACTTTTATAACTTCAGCCTTTTGTCAGATGGTTTTGCTCTGTTTTCAAGCTTAAGGAGGGCTTGTTTCACCTGTAAGGAGAGATCCTTTCAACAAATATTTTCTTCACAGGAAACTCTTCCAAACTCGAGCACCACATCTTTAAATCTTTATCAGGCTATTTTTTCTGCTTGACTGAGAATTACAATTAACAATTAAGTGCCCACACCTGCCCTTGAAAAAGTTTTTGACACAAATGTCTAAATGCTTTCGGTCTTTTTAAAAACAAAGTGGCACAAGATGAGAGGCCAGAACCTATACACCCTTCATTCAATTTTAATGTGGTTACACTCAGATCAAACCTGGAAGTCTGGAGCTTTTGCCCATTTAACTTGAATATGTTTCAGTAAATGATAATGAAAGGGACAAAATTTGTATAGTAAGATTGTTTTCATGTTTCATGATTGTTTCAACAAAATGATTTAACAAAACTTTTTAACTGGGAGAACAGTTCAGAATGTGTAACAGCAGTTTAATTTAGATATTGCTTTAATATATTTGTTGTTTTATAAAAAGGGTATAGTTACATTATATGCATATACAGAAGACCAAAAACAACTCATACCCTTATACTAAGTTTGTGTCTTTATTGTTGAAACAGACTCAGTCTCATAAACAGAAACACTTATATAAGCACGATATTGTATGTCCATTACAATTACAATTGTCCATTCCATTAGTGAAACAAGATATTTCTCATATCATACTTCAGTGTCTAAAATTTTTGTAAGATAATGAAGTCAATTAAAACTGTAGAAAGTGTCAGAGGAAACACTTTTTCCCCCCAACATGAAAAACTGAAACGTCTATGTACTCATATTATACTATCCTTAACATATACTTGCAAACATTTTCATTGGAATTTAAGTATAAGTTGTTTTTTTCTTTTTTTTTTATATCAGTCAAGTCACGCTGTTGTACAATTCTTTATCTTTACTTTTGTTTTAGAAAATATTTTAAATAATTTTTTCATTGATACCCTGATTTCATGTGTCTGTAGAACATAAATGATTGGATTCAACATAGGTGGCAGGACAGAGGTCAGAGATAAGTTTATGATCCTGTTGTTTGGATGTATTTTTTCCATCAGTGTAAATGTCATCAACAGTGGAGTAAAATAGACAACTACTAATGAAAGATGAGCTACACATGTCTTGAAGGCTTTGATTCCCTCTTGAAATGTTGCCACTTTAACTAGAGTATAACTAATATATAGGTAACTTAAAAGGATAAAAACAAGTGGAATCCAAAAAATAACAACAGGATAAAAAAATGCAATCACGTCATTTGGAAAATTGTCATTGCAAGCAAGTCTGTAGATCTGACCGTGGTCACAGAAATAGCTCTTAATAACCAAAGATTTACAGAAGGAAAGTCTTGTTAGAAGGCCAACTGAAATTAAGACAGCAATAATAACAAAGATCCAGAAAGATGCAATCAAAGACATCATTGACTTGTGGGTTACTTTCACTTGATAGTGAAGAGGAAATATGATAGCAACAAGTCGGTCATAGGAGAGAGCAACCAAATTAAAAGACTGCATTGAAAGGCAAGTGTAGCAGAAAAAAAGGAACGTCAAACAGTCATTATATGGAATTATGTTATGGTTAAACAGAAAGACATCAATTACTTTTGGTACCAGAGCAGAACTCCCTAACAGATCAACAAAAGCAAGATTAAAAACAGCAACATACTTTGGAGTTCTTAGATTGTGATCTAGATATATTAGAGCCATTACAGCTGTGTTACCCACCACAGATATTATATATAGGAAAAAGAGAAATATATAGTAGTACTTCATATTAGGTAAGCCAATAAATCCATTTATTATAAAATATGCTGGACGCACAAAAGTTATATTTTTTCCAAAGGCAGGATTAAATAGTTCCTTCATTGCAGTCCTTCAATAGTTCATAAACTACCACACATCTCCTCTGTGACAATACGTTCTCCTCTGTCAGAAAAAGAGACGCTTATGAGCTCTTACCACAATCTCATCTGGTAGATTTCTGTCAGACTTTTAAATGATGTAACAGAGGTGGTTTAAGAGAGAAGAAATGAATCTCACCTGGTGCCATTATATAGGTTGTCAATGTCTATTCCAATGAGTGTACAAGACACATGGGAACAGTGTGTCTTGTGTACATCTCTTTCAGTGTAAAAATGATCAAATCTTGATACATTCTGGTGTGGTGCATTCAGTATTTTTTGGGGAATTTGCTCTTTTCAATCCTGTGTTACACCAAATGTGTTTATTTTAATGAAATAGAAAATTGTCTGCACCAAATTCAGACTTCTTCCTTTATTTACACGTTGGCCTGTATGGAGAATATATAACATCAATTGTTTTCAGTGGTTAAAGTGAAAATGAAAGTAACATACAGTTAAATTTAAATATACATATTTCTTTTAAACTTTAGCATTTCTCTCTGCCTTGCCTTATGAGATTCTGTTCTTCCCTTGTTTATATTTTTCTGTTGAACCACAGTTCACAGTTTCCTTACAGTCCCATAGAGGTCTAAAGAACACTGTTTTTTTTTACTTTTTGTACACACAGGCAGTCAAACACAGATACCTTTCCACCTTAGCAGACTGAAACACTGGTAAAATGCCTTCATTACCACAAAAGATCAAAATATACCTTAAAGTTTTAAGACTATACAAATTTCATTCTTGCTGTAATTCTTTTGCAGTTAGTCAAATGATATTGACCACCTGTCTTCTTAAAATTTCATGCAATGTACTTCTTTGACCACATCTAGGTGATGTATCTGCAATTGCGGTGACTTTAAATCTGCAAATATGTTTACAATGATATCTCTGAGGACATCCACAGTCTTTGCAATCTTTTTATATATTTTCCTTACTTGTACGAAGCAACAACCTCTTCACCAAACATTTTAGAGATCTTTCTTGACTCAGCAAAATTTCTAACATACAAAACCCCATTTTCCATCCAGGTATTTAATTGGTCTTTTCCTATGTGATGTTGGGTGATATCACAAGTGTTTATGCTACCTAAAGTTATTTAGGGAGCTAGAAAAATATTTTTTGGTATTTTTTAGTATTCAGCTTTGTAACATATATTTTAATGAGCTTTTAGTTGACATTTTGTTAATTGTGAAAATATAGAATTTTACAAATAAACCTAATTTGCAAGGGAGTTTAATGAGTTTGGTTGTAACAATTTAAAGTGTTTTTTTCCCGTTTCAGCAATATATGTTTATAAAGAATTAAAAAAACAGTAAAGGTTAGTACACCTGTTTCAGACTATCTAAGAGTTATGTACATACAGAAGAATATACTATGAGTGCCTGGAAGTTATAGGCAGGGGTAACAGTAAGCTTTTTTTTTTTTTTCTTAGAAATGTCTGGAATGATTTGCCTCATTGCATAAACAAATAGTGGAATCATCAGCATAACAGCAAGATCTGAAAAACTCACACAAAGAGAAAAGACAACTAGGAGAAATTTATAGATACAATTACTTTGTCTTTGGTGCTCAGACCTCAGCAAGAAACATAGCACTTAATTTGATGGATATGCATGAACAGGAGTAAAGAATAGGGCTTTTTCCCTCCCAGGCCTGAAACTGGTGGTGGAGTGGAGATAGATGAAGCTGGTCTGTAGACTGCTGGTTAGTGAGATGGTACTGTATGCTGAGCTTTATGGGGAGATCCAGTGATTTGTGTGAGCTGATATTAGAGCTTCACTCAGGTATCTGGAAGATGGAAGTCTAGTTTGGATAACACAGGTTAATGAACCTGTCCATGATGAGCAAGCATGAAGCAACAGTGGAGAGGAAAAACTCCCTGTTGGGAAGAAACCTCTGGCAGAACCAGGCTCAACATGGCGGTCTTCTGCCGGACCGGTTAAGATGAGAACAGGGAACACAGTAAGAGTCCGGGAGCAATAACACTCTGATGAAGTTTTAGCTATGATGGTGGAGGAGGGGCTGGAGGTGGGTTGAAACATGGTCATCTGAATGAAGTCACAGCGCATCCACCACCTGCGCACAGGAGCAGACAGGCGCACATCAGAAGCCTTTTAAGATTAACTTTGGATGCTGATTGGCTTTCGTGGAGGTGTGGTTCAAAGCTGATTGGCTGTGTCACAGGTGGACGTATGAAAAGCTTCTTCAGTTGAAGCTCTGTCTATTTCACAATTTGTGAACATATAAAGAAAGAATAACTCCTAGAAAACGGACACCAGTTTCTCAGGATTGCATTCATAGTAAACCTCTTAATTCGAATTTTATTCCCTTCTTAAAATGCAAACTTTGATCAATATTTTTTTTACAGAAGCATATTCAGTGTAAATCTGCTTTGTGTTATACTTTTAACTCTTCAGAATACAGTGGTTAAAATTAGATTTTGTAAAAAGTATTTGCTGAAGGCAGACATGGGCAATGTGGAGTCAACAAGTCATCTCCATGTCATGTATTTGTTCTACCCAGCCACTGAAGCAGGTGAGTCCAATCTTCACCGTGAATTAACCTGTGCAGATTTGACTCACCTGGTTAATTGGCTGGGTAGATTAAATACATGACATGGAGATGACTTGTCGACTCCACATTGCCCATGTCTGTCTGAAGGTATAATCATATCAGTCACTTTTTCTGGGCTATATTCACCCTATTCAATGCCACCTAGTGGCAGCTATTCCATTGCTTTGATGCAACTACAAATGCATAGTAAAGCAATGATATAGTAATTTTTATGGCATCATGACTTCTTATACATAAAAATGGACGATACACAGTAGTGTGATGGTTTTTTTTTTGTTTTTTTTATGGGTATGCGTATAAGCAAACAGTCAGCAAATTATGCATTCTGACAAGTGTACTATCTTTTTTGCTTTTATAAAAGCTGAAACAGACATTGATATTCTGACTCCCCCAAAAAAGATTTATGCAAGCTTTAAAACTGCTATAAACATGCACTTGAGAGTATTATTTAAATCTTAAATGTGATTTTTATTGTAACATTTTAGCAAAGGAACATTATCAATGCAAAAAAGTTAACTATACATTCACTTTAACCTACCCTATCAAAATAATAACAGCTTATGTAAAACAAAAACCGGGGCTGTATCTATGTACACATGAAAAGAAAATAGGTTTTGAATTATGAAAATATAGTCCTATTAGGTTTCACTATAACTTTATTACTAGATTATTTTAAGCTGGCCCTGACAAACTTATTTTTCTTTCATGTATATTTGTAATGACAAAACATGTATTTTTGGTGTGGTTTTGCTTCGGGCTACACATAAAGAGATGGGCTGCTGCTGGTGGATCATCTGTTTACACTACGAAGGAGGGACAAAGGCAGTTATTTACTGTAAATATCCTGCATCCATTAGCGCTTAGCTGATAGTAACCCTCTGAGAACAAACCTTTCTTCTCAGCTCTGTGAGCTTTCTGACTCAGATCAAACCAGCACTGTTGCAAGAAACATAACAACTTTAGAGTAAAGTAGAGATTCTTCACTGAGGAGTATGTTACATGGAATAAATATATGCTACAGACAGACATTTATAGAAGCAGAAAAACTGATAAAAGTTATGCTAAGATGTGACTTTACAGCAATCCATTTTGTCTTTCATGACATGCATTAGGCTGCATGAATAATGCTTAGGCAACAGCTTTAGTTATGGTTTTAATATGTAAGAAAATGCAGATTTTAGCAATAAGACATACCACAAGACATATCTGGACCTGTGAGAACATGTCCTAGAAGTGAGGTTTTAGAGAGGAAGCAGAGAAAAGGGCAGGACTGGAAAGTGGAACAATTAGGACAGCCTGTTATGACAGAACATGGCAGACCAGACATGACAAAATGGCCCAACTTGACAGGCTTTAAGACCTTTTTATCACAGGAAATAAGCTTAATCTAGGACTATATTTCTTGTATACTCTTTAGTGAAAGAAGGAAAATCAAATGCAGCAGGTAATTGGACAGGAGACAGCGTGCAGTGCGCACATGAAAGCAGCCCCACCCAGCATTCAGATTAATTCATTCGCATCACACTTGTTTGATTTGGATGTGCTGAATGAGGTTGAGGAAGCCCCTAATGCAGCTGCAGGAGCATGACAGATAGCACATCTGGTTGCTCTGCTCCGCTATACCCTGTGCATGACCTGCATGAAACCCCCATCTTGGCAGGACGGACCTGCTTTGGGTCAGTGCTCTCTGCACTGTGGTCAGATAGTTACCTGCATGCACAGTCAGTAGTGCACAGTCAGTAGTGCACTAGTGCACGCCACCTGGATTGCGTTGAGTAGCAGTAACACCATAATTTATTTCTTCATGCTCAGGCCCACAGTTCAACTGTGTTCACATCAGGTCCGGTAAAATCAGCTTTTATTTTTCCTTCCCATTTTACAGTAAAATAGGCACTGTCATAGTTAAAGTTGCTGCCCAACTGAGTTATAAAGTTCTGCTTTATGAACAGCTTTTAGTAAATGTTATTTCATGCATTTTAAGAGCAATTATTTCGTATTAAGCATGATGTGAGTCAGGGATGTATTTACTACTTTTATTGTTATTGAACACACCACTCTAGCAATAAATGCAAACATTAATCATCCAGCAGATTTCCATCCTCAAAACTGTATGAAATGCGTAAATCAGTGTGGTGAGTTTTGGCCAGTTGTGTTCAAGTGGTTCAAGGGTTCATGAGGCTTTGCAATTCCCATCACTACTCTCGCCAGGTCACCAAAGATACTCAACTTTTTTTTTTTTTTTATCTTTCTTTTAACTTGTTTGGAATACACAACTAAACAGACACACATCTAACAGCAACTTTAGAGTTGGCAAAAAACCTTATAGTAATTTTTTTGGCCTGTGGAAGAAAGCCGGAATATTCAGGGAGAACCCATGCATGCACAGGGAGAACACACAAACACAATGCAGAAAGATTCTAGACCGTAGATCAAACCAAGGACCTTTTTGTTGCAATGAAGCAGTTCTACACATTGCGCCACCTTGCAGCCACATAACAATAACTTTCTATTGTCAGTGTATATTCAAAATAAATGTTCTTCTTACAGAGCAATGTAGGACTAATCCTCTTGCTCAGAGACTGAATGGATTTTGAACTAGGTACTTGTAATATTCTATGACTACCAGCTTTGATCAGTTGGCACCCGGAAAGAAAACTTAATGGCACTCCTGTATTTCCATTACTTTTTTTGCATGTTTGGCATGCTGTAGAGCTTAAACATGAATAATGAGTGCTTCATTGTAAGTTTCAACTATTGTTAACTTAGAGTATTTACAAGACACATGTTAGGTCTAGATTAAGGGGAGAAATTAACTCTGGTTCGTGTAAAGTTGTAAAATATTAGGGGACAGAAAGGAAATTATAGCTGACAAAGGCAGTTATTCATTAAAAAGGCTTTGTGAATTGTTTGAATCTTTTCGAAATGTAACAATTCAAACAATGGGAAAATGCAGTAAATGACATTTGAACTAACCTTTTTTTATCAAAAGCTTCAGTATATCAAAAGATCTTTTTTCCAATTTGGTTTTTAGAAAAGTTTGAATGGAACTAAACATTTAAATATTCACGTTCAATCCTAACTCACCTTCACTTATGTAATCAACACTTTAGCATTACACATATAATGCAGAAACATTAGCAAAAGGGGAAACAAAAGGATACTTATTAACCTGGCAATCATTCCTAACAAAATAAAAGCAAAACAACTTACTTCTTTAACTTTTCTTGAAATTTTTACTTTACTGTAACTTTTGGCTTCCTCTTGATTTTTATAAGTTTTTTTATTGATAACTTAATTTCCTGGGTTTGTAAAACATAAATGATTGGATTCAACATGGGTGGAACCACGGCAGGTATAGACAGGTTTACAATTCTTGCATTTTGATGCATTCTTCCATACATAGCAAATGTGATTAATATAGGAAAATAATAGATTGCCACTAAAGAAAGGTGAGCAGTGCAGGTTTTAAAGGCTTTAACTCTTTCTTCAAATGTAGCTACTTTAGCTAAGGCATGTCCAATGGAGATGTAACTAAACAAGATTATCCCAAGAGGAAGCCAAAGAACAAAACATGGTATCATGTGACCTATGACAAAATTGGGGAAGTAATTATTACAAGCAAGTCGGAAAATCTGACCGTAGTCACAGAAATAGCTGTTGATAACTACAGATTTACAAAACGAAAGTCTTGTGAGAAAACCAACTGCCACTAAGTTAGAAATAAAAACAAATAACCAGAAAAACAATATCAGGGACAACATATTCTTATGTGTAACCTTTACATGATAGCGAAGAGGAAACATGATGGCCATCAGTCGGTCATAGGATAGAGCAACCAAATTAAGAGACTGCATTGAAAGGAAAGAGTAGCAGAAAAAAAAGAATGTCAAGCAGTCACGATATGTGATAGAATAGTTATTAAATAGAAATATATCAATCACTTTTGGTACCAGAGCAGTGCTACCTAACAGGTCCACAAATGCAAGGTTAAAAACTGCAACAAATTTAGGAGTTTTAAGATTTGGATCCAGATATATCAAAGACATCACAGCAGTGTTTCCAAAAATGGAAATGATGAAGGCAAAAAAAAGAAGGACATAGTAGTACTTCATGTTAGGTAAGCCAATAAATCCACTTATTATGAAATATGCAGGACGAACAAAGGTGATGTTTTTTCCAAAGTTAGCGCTTAATAATTCCATTGCAATGTTTTTAAGGTATTTTATGTCAGGGTACACAACACTGCAAAAAAATGTTATTCTGCTTTCTGAAGTAGTCTCACAGGTAAAGAAGGTTTGACAAGCTCTTAGTGCTTTTATACCTTCAATTTGTTTATGCACTCAGTCTCTCTAGAGTAGAATTGTCTAACTCCAGTCCTCGAGGGCTGCTGCCCTGTACTTTTTAGATATGTCTCTGCTTTTAACCTTCTGAATCGAGTAATCAGGTCATTAGCAGAAGTCTGCAAAACTTGGCTCCATAGTACGGAGGCAATTCAATCATTTGATTCAGATGTTTTGACCAAGTGAAATATTTAAAAGTTGCAGGACATTAGCTTTCAAGGACTCGAGTTTGACACCCGTGCACTAGAGTATTCAATATACTAAGGCTTTATTCTAGTTTATTCTTGTAGATTTTGATCAGAAAAATCTAATATTTATCCATGTTGTTTTAGTGTACGTAACGTAATTTACATAATGCATCATTAAAATGAGGTGCGATTGCACTATGATGTTTAAATCAGCCAAAGCACTGTTTGTAGGGTCTTGGAAGCACATTAGAGATAACTTCCTGACAATTTTGCACATCTACAAAAAATGGCACTGGCAATCATTCCTGACAAAATAAGTCAGAGATAGTTGCAGGGTATGGTCAGAGGCCTGCACTCTGTCATTCAGTTCGATGTGCTCTAAGGTTACCGATATCTTACATTCTGATTCTTTTGTCTGAATAAATGTTAAATTTGGTACAGTGTACAGGCCACTAGGATCTTCTATGTCTGACTAATTTTCCACTGGGATCAGCTTCATAGTCATGGTAGGACACATATTTGATTTTACTTCGGAGAATCTTTTGGCAATGAACCTATTCAAATTTGGAAAAAAAAAACTCATAAAAAAATTTTTTTATTTTTTTTTTCAAATTCAATTAATTAAAGTGAAACAGCTGAAATCATTTTCAAAATCTGAAAAAAACTGCTAACAAATACACTAGAATTAGCCTGAAAATGAAATAAGCCTATATAAAATCTAATAATTTTACTCACATTTCAAATATTCATTTAGGGTATTTACTTTATAAAATAGACTGTTTCTCAGAACATCAGTATTGCGTCCATTGGCTAATTTAAAGTAAGCTAGACTACATGCTGGCAATGAATAAGTTAAAACTATTCTAACAGTTCCGTCGAACTAAATTATTTACCATTGATTGGAAGACAGGCATTAGCTAGCACCTTATAGCACCTTTTAGGACAGCCAATAGCAGCCTTTCTTGCTGGGGAGTTAGCAACACTGGTGAAGGGATGAGAGGAGCAGAGAAGAGAAGCTATTGAAGAAAAATTCTACATTTTGACAAAAAAAAGTGTTTAAATATATTAAGAAAATATATAATTAAATTGAAATAGGTCTTAAAGTTGACAAAGTTTAAACATATTCTTAATGTTTTAATAATTCTTATACATGGATGCCTTAAATTTAATAGTTTTGATGGACAGATAAATTCGAATTAATAGGATTTTACTTGTACGGAGACACATTTCAGTCGATGTGCTACAGTTAGTGTGCAATGAATAAATTCTCTGCTAATGCCAATTCCCGAATTTGCAATCAACACCATTCTAGATCATTTCTGACACTTTTTTTGTTACGGTAAACTTGGAACCTGGAACCTGCAGAAGATTCCCTCCCCTCCTTTTTTTCACTTTCCCTCAAATCACTTTGTCTTTGCCGCTCCGCAGTTATGATGTTCAGAACCTGCCAAAAGTTGAAAGGGCAATATTACTGCCATTACTGTTACTATATAATAGAAATTTGCACATTCAGTGATAAAATTTCACAGGGGATGGTATGGGGGGATGGTCATTTAAGAAGGGGGTGATTTTCATGCCCACTTCAACTTAAGTACTGTGTGTGAATAAATATATATATATATATATATATATATATATATATATATATATATATATATCAGGGCCAGACTGGGAGATTTTTTTCAGGCCAGGAGTCAGTCCACCCTGGCCTGGTTACATGACTGACTGACATGACTGATTTATTAGAAAGTAAAAAAAAAAAAAATAGGTCTGTGATCTGTTTTGTTTTCTGAGGACCCAACTGAAAAATTTAACAAGCTTTTATCAACCAAAAAGTAAGCTTTTATTATATGTTTGACTTCACCTTCAGCTTTGACACCCAACCAAGCAGAGGAACAGACTGGATGTAGAGAACAGCCTGCAATCAGTTGATTTTCTAACTGAGCTATCGGAGTTCATCAAAGCATCTCAGGTGTTTTGATGAAAACAAATTCAAACTAATAACGTCAGACTTACCATAATTTTTGTTTTGCGTTTTGTTCACAATTCGTCAAGTTTAAATGTGATTATAAAGGAGTTATTCAGAGGAGCTACAGTTTTATAAATACAGGTGTATCATAGGATTTTATATAGTATTTATTTTTATTCCTTACTAAATTCCAGGCAACATACTTATGTTGTTTTTTATTTTAGATGGAAGGCATACATTTATAAAAATTAAATGCTGAAATTAAAAGATTACATAAAATAGTCTTTATTTCCTTTATTGTACATTCCACTTTTGAACAATCATCAATACTTTTGACTGAGAGGTGTACTCATGGTACAAAAAATTGCCCAAAGGGGAACACAAATCAAAAAAGGTTGGGAAACACTGATCTATAGGACCTACTCTAATTTCTAAGGTTGGAATACAGTAACTTTACCACTGCAATTGTGATAGTACTAAGATAATAAAGATTTTACATAATAAGAAGTGCCAAGGTTACAGCTATACAAAGTTATAGCCTATCTTATCATGCCTTAATGGCAAATCATCATTACGAGGAATAGTAATGAACCCCAACCTACAGTAAATCCAAGGTTTCAATACATAAACTTTCATGTTTGAGCTGGGATATGTAACTGCAAGTCAGCAACAGAGAGAAAAATTCAACAACACAATCACTAAATGCTTTAGTGCTAAGAAAGCCAGTATTACAGCTGAGAGCCATTTATGTCAAATGGAATGTTTGGTTGTGTTCATGTCAGTTAGTGCATGTCTTTACTCTACTGTAGAAAAGGTTCTGTACCTTCTTTCAAATGCTCTACTTCTCCTGAAGCACCAGCAGGAGTGGTGTCATCACCATCACCACCTTTGAATAGCAAACATATGCTGACAGTGTTCTTCCATTCACTGAACAGAGACATTTGAGGTCTCTGGACATCATATGTTTTAACTTTAAACACAAATATAATATTTGTAGCATTTTGTGCATGCATGTTTCTTTATAACTTCCATCCCTTTTTCTTAATGGCAAAGTGGTGGGGGGAATAAATCTGTTATTTTCAGCATTTGGCCGCATCCTCTTCCAGCGTCTTTTTTTTATCTCTCTCCGTCTCTGCGCCGGTTTTCCTCTTCTTTTTACCACGTTTGAAGACAGAGTCCAATGCCTCTTATCCTCATTTGCACTGCTCACTAGCTACACACACCACAGCAGCCGCCAACAGACACATGTCACAGATGCCTTCTTCTACACGCTGCTGTCTGTGTGGTTGATACAGACTTTTTGGGTGTGTGTAAATTGAAACAAACCAACCGTCTTTCCCTCCTCACATCCTACTGGCCTAAGTGGCCTGGTCTGTCTCTCTTTGATAGGTGTGCCGCTGCTGCACCGGCAGACTTAGAAAAGAGAGAAACAGGTCAGCAGGCCAATGATGTCAATTGACTCCAAATATATTTAGCAGTTTTTTTGCACTAGATGGTGAACCAAACAGAGGAAGTGAGAAGCATTTTAAAGCCTTGAAATAGTATCTGTATCTGTGTCACTACAGCAGCAGTTAACATCCATTCCCTCTTTACTCTGTATTGACACATTGTCTGATCAAAACAACAGGCTAGACAGCTGATCAACCTGGTTGCTTTCCAGCTTCCTGTGGTAGTAAACAGCTTTTAATTAACACTAAAAGGTGGTTAATTTTCTGTCTAAAATGTAATGAATTTCAAAGCCTTATTACAATCACCTACAATGAGTTTATTAGGAATACCTTGATACTACCATTTTAGGAAATTGTCTCAGGCACATCTATAATCAAATCTCCTGTTTCACTATATCCTGGAGGAACTCTGTTGGAAGGACATCTGGGGGAGTCCACTTTACCGCGCTAAATTCATTGTCATCATAAAATAAAGCAGTCTGAGATAATTTGACTCAAAGTTCTCATTTCTGCCATAGTGTTTGAATAAGAGTAAAAATGAGAAATTCCCCGAACTATTACATCACCACTTACAGTCTATATCCCAAATACGGGGCAGATTAAAATAAGTTTCATGGTGCTTACAAGTTTTTCAGAAACATTACAATGGGAGCTGGACAAATATTTTCTGTCATGACTCTCATGGGTATTAAAAATTGTCTCATAAAGTTTACAAAGTTGTTACAGTATGTTCATTAATGCTAAGAACTTTTGGTTAGAGCACACAAAACAAATAACATCATTATATCACTAAATGTTGCATTTCTTATTCTCACTTTAAATGGTCCCTCTACAATATAAAAGTAAATATAAGCTTAATAACAATGCAAAAAAAAACATACATTTCTTCGTATATGTTTATATTTTGGCTAAACCAGATCCTTTTTTTTCTTTAATTCTGAACTGCCCCCTGATTTTTAATATTTTCCTCAGCGATGCTTTTATTTCTTGTGTCTGCAAAACATAAATGACTGGGTTTAGCATGGGTGGAAAAACAGATGTCAAAGACAAGTTTATTATCCTGGCATTCAGAGGTATTCTTGAACTCATGGTGAATGTGATCATTATTGGAAGGAAATAGATAACTACTAATGAGAGATGAGCAGTGCAGGTTTTAAATGTTTTTGCTCTCTCCTGAGCTGTAGCAACTTTGGCTAAAACAAATCCAATACAAATGTAACTGGACACAATAAATAAAAAAGGAAGCCATAGGAGAACCACTGGGAACAATCTGCCAATGACTGAATTAGGGAAGTTATCATTGCAGGCAAGTTTATACATCTGACCATGGTCACAAAAATAGCTTTTAACAACTACGGACTTACAAAAGGAAAGTCTTGTTAGAAGACAAGCTGCAGTTAGGTTAGCCATTATAACAAGGAGCCAGAAGGAGGCAATCAAAGACAACATAATCTTTTGAGTAACCTTAACGTGATAGTGCAGAGGAAACATAATTGCTATCAAGCGATCGTAGCAAAGAGCAACCAGATTTAGAGCCTGCATTGAAAGGCAAGTGTAGCAAAAAAAGAAGAATGTCAAACACTCATTGTAGGGGACACGATAGTTACCAAGCAAAAATATGTCAAGCACCTTTGGTACCAGAGCACAGCTACCTAACAGGTCCACAAATGCAAGGTTGAAAACTGCAACATACTTTGGAGCTCTTAGGTTAGGATCCAGATGTATTACAGCCATTACAGCTGTGTTTCCGATCAAAGAAATGATAAAGACAAAAAAGAGAAAGACATAGTAATACTTCATGTTTGGTAAGCCGATAAATCCACTAATTATAAAGTATGGGGGGCGTACAAAAGTAATGTTTTCTCCGAAAGCAGCATTAAATAAGTCCATTATGAGATCAAGCTCCAGCTGTTGTGTTCAAGATTGACTAGCACTGACAGCAGAAGCACAATCATCAATTCAGATTCAGTTGGTAGCTCTGAGAAGCTTTAACTGTTTTGTGGACCCTTGTTTAAAATGTATTAGATTCCCCAAGAGTATGAGGTAACATTTCTTGTTTACTTCTAAATGAAATGACAAGAGAGGGAGGAGAAGTCATTTTTCCAAGTAAAGCAATTATTTTTCTTCCAAGATAGAAAACAAAAACCAACTGCAATAACAAATAATTGCTGTTTCAGTTATTTTACCCATATCAATATCAAGGGATTGTATTTAATTCCAAGCTCTACACATAAAAAAGTACAAGTAATGAATGTAGTAAGGAGAATAATGATAATTTACTAAAGGAATCAAGGCAAGGCAAAGGCAAGGCAATTTATTTGTATATCACAATTCAGTACAAAGACAATGCAAAGTGCTTTACATGATTAAAATATAGGAAAATAAAACAAAATCAAAGCAAGTAGAAAAAAAATAAATACTAAAAAATGCTGAAACAAGAAAGAACATTAAAAACAGTTGGACTAAAGAAAAAAAAATAACTAATGATGTTTCAGTTGAACTTAGAAAAGTCGAAGGCAATCCTAAACAAACATGTTTTTAGTCTTGATTTAAATCAGCAAATAAAGATACAGTAAATGTGACTTGCAAAATATCTATGAAGGATTGAATGCTGCTTTTCTGTTGTCTGAAAAAATTGTTTAGTTACCAAAACATTAACCATATACTATATTTTCTATAGTTTATATCGAAACACATTTTTTCTTTGATAAATTGAACAAAATCTAGACCTAGAGATTTTTTTTCTGTACAAGATGCATATCACACTGAGAATCCTCTTCTGAAATATAGTAAAAAATGTTTCCTTATTTTTTTATTTTTCAATCCAAAAACTGTTTGACTGCATTACTTAGGTAAAAGCTTGGATGGCTTCAAATTTTCTAAACCTCAATGAATATAAAACTGTAGTTTTAATTTTTGGGCCCAGTGTAAATCCAAGCATTTCACCTTCTGATCTCAGTAGCCTCAGGGTGTTTGTAAAGTGATCAGCAAAAAATCTTGGCGGAGCTAATTCTTGATTCCCGTCAAAACTTTGAGAAAAAGATACGTCCTGTTGTAAAAAGATCATTTTTAAACAGAGTGAAAATTTTTTTTTTTCCCTAAATAATGATTAATTATGCTTTTATTAGCCTCCAACTTGATAGCAGCAATTCTTTGTACAGTGGGGCAAAAAAGTATTTAGTCAGTTCTCCCACTCAAAAAGATGAG